TCGATGGGTGACTGCATAAAGAAAATGTGATTTTTATATATATTTTCTTTACATTGTAATATAATATTATTCTGCCTTTAAAAAGAAGGAAATCCTGCCACTTGCAACACCATGGATGAACCTGAAGGACATTATGCTGAGTGAAATAAGCCAGGCTCAGGAAGACAAATACAGCATGATGTCACTTATATGCAGAATCCAGAAAAGTTTAACTCGTAGAAGCAGAGAGTAGAATGGTGGCTACCAAGGGTCAGGGGATGATAGTTGAACATGGGGAGATGTTAGTCAAAGGATACAAACTTTCAGTTATAAGATGAATAAATTCTAGAGAACTGATATACAGCATGGTGCCTATAGTTCATAACACTGTGTTATGTGCTTGAACTTTGCTAAAAGAGTAAGTCTTAATTTGCTGAGAGTAAAGATTCTTCCAGTCTGGGCAACCTTGTCTGTACAAAAAAATCAAAAAATTAGCCCGGCCTGGTGGCATGCTCCTCCATGCAGCCACTCAGGAGGTTGAGGCAAGAGGAGTGCCTGAGCCCAGGAAGTGGAAACTGCGGTGAGCCGTGATCATGCCACTGCACTCCAGTCCGAGTGACAAGTGAGATCCCAACTCAAAACAACAACAACAACAACCCCCCCCAAACAGAATTGATTCTTACCATATGTTTATTTGTTTGATTGTGGTAATCATATTGTGATGTAGATGTATGGAAAATTTAATATTATCTGATAAGAAACCACTGCCCTCTTTCAAGTTTACATACTTTCAGAGAAATAGGTGAGAACTTTTCCTGACAAGATAATTTAATTTGCAAAGAAACAACTTATAATTCTCATTAATATTACCGTTTTTGTTTAATGGCTGACATTTATTCTAAGAACACCCCTGGGAGTGATAGAGCCAGCCAACATTCCTCAAAATGTTGCAAATATGTGAAAAATAAAACATCCTCAAATACTGAAAAGACATAACAATCCACAAAGTAACAACGTCTAAAGGTAACAGCAGTTATCACCCTTGGATGATATGGTTATGATTTAAAAAAAAACAAAAATAAAGATTTCAGTTGTGCATCAGTCGAGCGAAGGAGCTGGGTGCCGACGGGGAAAACGCTCTGGGCCTTCGTGTGCAGGCAGCTAGGTCTTGGTTGACATAATGCATGGCTCTGTCACTCCCGGGGTGTTCTTAGAGTAGGATAAATGTAAACTTGGAGGAGGACAGTGGCTTTATGTTCAGGTGATATTAAACTGTGTTCCTATCAATCTTTTCTTTTAGTGTTTGAAATACAAACAGTTGCCAGGATAAAAAGTGACACAGAGAGAAGACGGAAGCCATGAATAAAAAGGGCTGTGTGACGAGTTTTCTGGTGATCATGTTTCATATTTATGTGTTGGGAGCAGTTCCAGCTAGAATTTATTTTTTTCTCCAGTACTTACAATGCAGAATTTGGGACCTTGAGAAGACATGAGGTAGGGTGGGAGTTATTAGTGGCCTCTGCGTCTTACTGAACCCCAGGCAAACCGTTAGAGCAGAGTGGCTTGTAGCACCTCAGATGCCTAGAACTTTCTTTCGCGTTTTGGGTTTAGAAAGTTTGCTTTTGGAACAGCTACCCAAACTGGGGGAAAAAGGTAAGGAAATACGTGATTTGAGGCTGTGGCTCAGAGATTTTGAGTCTTTTTCGGAAAGTGCTGAATGGCTGAGACAAATGGAATCCCCAGGAGGCCTCTTAGCTCAGAGTCTGGGGCCCTTTGCCTTTTCTTTTCCTTGGGCAGGTTCTCTAAGAGAAGTTCCTTAAGGGAATGCTTGTGACTAGTGAGCTTTCAGAGTAGCTTTGTCGGTAAATGTCTGCATAACTGCTCTCATCCCGGAAAAAGGTTTGTGGGCTCTGTTCTGCACTCCACTCCCTGTGTGCCCTCCTCCCGGTCTCTGAGTACACTGCCACTCAGGATTCTATTGCTCTCACTCCCTACGTCTTATTTTCTATGCTTCTCTCTCAGTGCAGTAGTCAGTCTGTTTTTATTTTCTCAGTCTGTCCTCCAATTCCCAAATTCTCTCTTTGATCTTCTAATCTCTGTTTAACTTCTCTTTGGATTTTTAACTTCAACTGTAGTTTTCGTTGTCAAGCATTCTCTATAGTTATTTTTTCAGATCTACCACTTCCTCTTTTTTTATTTCTTTACAATTTCATAGATCATTATTTAATATTCTACGTCAGATCTTCCCAATGCCTAAGAATCTGCTAATTGTAGTCTCTACTGACGCCTACTCAAGGTGGGTTTTTTCCTTGGGTTTTTTATTGTGAACACGTATTTAGGCCGCCTCTCTTTTTGGAACTCCTTAGGGCCTCCCTTGGGCTGCTTTCTTCCTGGAGGATTTGTGTTTGGGGCTGCTGGGAGTGGAGGCATCTCTTCCCCTGGCAGCGCTACCCCCAGGCTGTGGCTGAGTTGGAGAGTCTCAGATCAAGTGCATGGCCTTGCTGCTGTACTGGAGGTGTCGGCATCTGCTAGCTATTCAGATTCCTGTCCCTACATTCCTCCCTCAGGGGTCCCCTTTACTTTGTTTGGAGCAGCAGTATATTAAAAAGCTTGTTGGTCTCTGTTCTGCCTTTGTAAAGTAAGTGTTTCTATGCATTTAAAACTGTTTGAAATGATAGTTTGCCTTTTAAAAAGTGCGTTTGTGGAACTTGACTTGTATCTGGTAGCACTGTCTTGGAGCCTCCCAAGGAGCTCTCGTCCAGCAGCCCTGCCCTCCCCAGCCGGGGCCCGCATCCCACCAGCTGCACTGCCTCTGTCCCGCCTTCCTTGGCCCCTCTGAGGGCACCACACCCTCCGTGCCTCCTCCTCCTCAAGTCTCTCTGGGGCTTCTGGGACACCCTTCTTTCCTGATTCTGGTGTTTCAGTCCTTTTGGGGGTATGAATGCTGTGTGTCGAGATTTTCCAGTGCACTTTGTTCGATCTGCCAAATTCTGAGAATTATTTTAATCATGAGTAAGATGGAGTTTACATTTTATAATTTATCTTTCAGATATTATTATTGAAAACATTTCTAGTTTTGTGTACAACCTTGCAGATTTTCTCATCATAATCTCAGTGAAATAATTTGCCATTGTTATAAATAATACCAATGTGATCATACATGACTTACTGTGGGCAAGGAAGGAATGACAGTTTCCAAAGTGTATTTGTCAGTGCCTGTGACGTGGCCACCCCACAGCCTCTGGGATAAAAACCGGTCCCTGTGAGTGAGGGCTGAGCACTGGTGTCAGTGTGCTGGGTGTCTGCTCTTGCACTTCCTGTTGGGCAAGAGAAAAGTTGAAAGGTGGACTCACAGCGGCATGTGTTTTTACTACTAAAAAATGTGTCAAGGTGGCAGGATACTCTGAAACAGGGTTTTATGTTTCTGACCTGGATCTGCGACAGTTTGAAGTAGTGACTATCGGGAAGTGGCTTCCTTTGGCAGTAAGAGGACAGCTTCTGCTGGGCAGAGAAGGGCGAATCACTTGAGTGGACTCCCTTAGTCCTGCAGGTGGGGTAGGGCTCCTCGGTGAAAACAGTCTGCATGGGAGGGAAAGGACTGCTGTCTTTCTTGACAGGCTGGGGGACAGAGTTTGGGGGCTGTTGATGTGTCATTGGTTTTAAAATTTAAACTGCACGTGTCCTTCCACTCCCCTGTGATGGAGGGCCATGGGCAAGGGGCGTGTGAGCTGGAAGTCCTGGCTCCTTTTCTCTGGTCCCGTCTCCCTCCGGGGTTCTTCTCGGTCTGGGTTTTGGCCTCAGAGGGTTCAAAACTCCTAATGACCTCCACTTCGTAGGGATGGCCCAGGAGTTGAGAAGAGGCATTGGTGGGTGGCCCACACTGAAGAGACACCGCTGTGTCTTGTGAGCTAGATTGTCTTCTTGTTTGCTCCTCGCTGGTCAGCCTCAAATACCAGTTTGTCCAGCACAGGGGCCTTTGGGGCCTGTCCTGGCAAAGCTGCTTTGTTCTGCTCAGGCCCCTGCCTCGCTGCCCCTCAGTGTCTCTGCTTCCTGGTGTTTTGCCCTGTGGCCTGCTCTCACTTCCTCAGCCCCTGCTCCTCCTCTGAATTCCTCTCCCTTTCACCTCAGTTCTGGGGTTGATCGCTGCATTCCTGCCTGACAGCCTTGGTGCTGGTGTCCCTGACCGGTCGTCCTGCAAGTGCAGTCCCAGATAGTCTTTCTCAGAGTTCTCATCAAAGGCCTACTTGTAGCTTCTTGTTGCTGTGAGTGTCATTCCTGACCTCCATCAGCTGACTGCCTCAAGCTCTCCAGCCTCCTCCTTGTTGCAGCTGGCCTTCCGGTACCGCCTGTCATCCCTCCTGCCTGACTTGTTTGTTCTTGTCCCCATGCCGGTGAGCCAGCCACTGCCACTTCTCCAGCCTTCCAAGCCCCTTCTGTGAAAGCTTCTCCCCAGCCTGCTTGCTTGTGGCCACTCTTGCACCACTTGGGCAGGTGGCCGGGTGTGTGATCTGGTCTCACCTCTGGGCTTGACTCCTTCTCTGCCGCTATCTTGGGGCTATTTCACCTCTCCCTCTCCAGGCCCATCTTCGGCCCCGGGGGATGGAGGCGGTGCTGGTGAGCGCCACGGAGGGCATGTGTGGCCCTGGGCACAGCCTGTCCTGTGCAGGGGACGTTAAGGCAAGTGGGCCAATGGGTTGCTACGGCCTGCCTCCTTGATGCCGTGTGTCACCCACAGGACTTGATCCCACTGAAAGTTGTAAAGTTGTTTTCATGGAGGCTGTTACTAAGACTGCAGTATCAAGCATGCTGGGATCTGTTCATTGCAAATGGAAATGACGATGACTTCCTCTTGTTGGGTGTTGCCCAATTTGGGCGGGGTTCTTGACTCATTGAGCTGTCTGCCTTTCCTGGGACACCTGGGCCTGGAGAGTGTTTCCAGTTTTGTTCCCCAGATGAATGTGCTGTTTCCCGAGTTTGTCATGAGGCTTAATTAACTCATGTCTCTCTCTCTTTTCTTTCAGTCTGCAACTGTGTCTGATGGTGGTAAGTCAAAAATTCTGATGTATCCTTTTATTATTTTTATGAAGTTTTCAAATTGTGAAAGTGTATTTGCCGTTTGATGCACCTAAAACATGTTTTCATTGCCCTCTTCTACTTCCTTGTGGGAGGATTTTAGTTGGGGTTAATTTGGGGGAGCTTTCTATCCCTGCTTGGTGGCCTTGGCATGTGTTTTAGAAGGTATCTAGTACAGAGAAATGTCATGGATCTGGATGTCAGAGTGACAGAACATCTGTCGCCTGAGTTGGGGGGGTGCTGTGTACATGTGCGATACATCCTACCACATACCTGCGTTGGGCAAGTTAAAACGTGTTTTTGCTGTTCTCCTGTTGTATAACCAGCTTTTAAACCATCAAGTTAAGACTTTGAAGCACTTGCTGAATTTGAGCAATTCTGGAAATTTGGGTGAGACTCTCAGTTACAGAGTTTCCTTTTCTTAGGAAAAGTATAATGAATCAAGAGTGTGGGATGAAAAGGAATCAGAACACTTCTGTCTTTAAATAATTTTGTGCACAGGAATTCTTTTAATGGGACTGGTTCAAAAAGGAAGTAGCCAGAAATGACTTATTTCACTTAAGATTTCTCTGACGTAATCGGTATCAGTAATTTATTTCAAAACTTCAAAGTGGTTTGGAGAATTTCTTCCAAATAGTCCTTGTTTCTTATAACACTTATGAACGTCCTTATGCTCACACGTTTTGCTGTCACTGTTTCACATTTTTTAATCTACTCTTCTGTCTTTGAGAGTTGGGTTAGATACTGTCTTACAAGACGTCACACTTTCTTCCCATTTCTATGCGGGGACGGTCTGAAGCATAGCTGAAAGCTGCTGTGTGGCATGGCTGTGTGAGGCTGCTCTCTTTGATTGTAAGCCAGAGAGAAGCCAAGTGTAGTTTTCTTGAAACGTTCTGTTTTCCTGTAAGTGCAAGCCTCGGTCCTTGGCTTTGGAAAGGGTTGCTTTCACCTGCAGAAGGGCGGAGTATAAAACCCTCTGTGCAGAGGCACCGGCAGCCCGGCTGTTGGGCTGGCCGTGGGAAGCGCCAGGAGAAGTACTTCTTGAATTGCGAACCTGCTAATATCCACAGCTAAGAAAAGAGTGACCCTAACACTTGTAGGTTTAGGACGTATTTTTTTGAATAAAAGGAATTATATTTCCTATTTATGTACAATGATAATCATGTCATTTAATCAGTCTTAAGCTGGGAGAGGGAAAACTTCCTTAATGAAAAGAAATAGGACCAGTAACCAAATCCAGTATAAAACTGAATGGGTTTTATAATATTCTGTTCATGCTTATCCTTTCTACTGTGCTGTAACTCTTCTCTGGCTGAAGACATTCATTTCTGTAGGAAATTTATAAATCTGAGAGGTTTACTTAATATGTTTAATGTTAAAACAAATATAATAATCTTTATTTGCCTCTAAAAGTTTTCTTTTGCCAGCAATTGATACAGAAACCCCAAGGAGTTTTATTATGTAGTCCATTTCATACTTTTTAAAAAACCTACACTTCCCAAGTGTCAGAAGTCCCTGAGTCCCAGCCTCTGCCAACTCTGTGTCCTGAGGACATGTGTCCTGGCTGGGGGTAGTGATTCCCTGCCTCTGGGGCTTCCCCTATCCTCACTGCCCCTTCTCCACTTTGAACCCAAGGCCACTAGTTAGGGACAGGTGAACCCTCCTTCTGTGAAGGGTCCCTGTGGCAGAGAAGGGAGAGGAGAAAGAAGATACTTGTCATGAGCACGCCCAGAACTTCAGGATCTCGCCAGGCAGCCTTATATGTGCTTTACTTATCACTTTTCATTTGCTATTTTTTTGTCTTTTGTTTCTTCTCTGATTATAGGAATCAAAAGAAAAAGTTATCTTATTTAATGTGCATGCTAGTTCTAGATCTGTATTATATTCTGCTGTTGTTACAGGCAGGGACACTGAGGCAGAGTGAGAGGAAATCGGTCAAGGCCGTGTAGCCAGAGGTGACATGCCTGGGAAGAGGCCTGGTGGGCTGTCTGACTCCAGCACCTGCAGAGAAAGTCTCCTGCCACAAAGCTTTCTGTGTGCTTGCTGCCACCTGTCCTCCTGTGTGGTGTCCTCCATACCCCTGACCCCATGGTGACGGGGAGCCCCAGCTCCATCCTGGGGCCCTATAGCTCCCACCGTCCTTCTAGCACCTGCTCTGGGGACGCGTCAGCTGCTCTCCCTGCCTCAAGCAGAAAGAGAGCTCCTGCTTCTATCAGCGCTCCACAGCAGTGACAGGAGCATGGTGGGGCGTTGGCTCCTGGGGGGATTCAGGCTGTGTTTCCGCTCAGAGATGTGTCTGGAGTCTGTGGTCAGTGGGAGATTCAGACTCGCCAAGGGGGCCCTGGGAACTCCAGAAGCACCCCGTGTCTGGGGGGAAAATGTCCCCGAGCTCTGAGGAGGACCTTGAGAGTCAGCTTGGAGAACGGCCTGATCACCGTTGGTCTGTTTCTACCTGGTTATCCTTGGTGAGGAATACATTGCTCACTTAGAAATATTGTGGGTTCAGTTAGCCATACCAGTGAGATAATTGGCACTCATTTCACTGGTTTATTCCATGTCTATATTATATATTTTATATATATATATGTATATATATATATATATTTTTTTTTAGTTGGAGTCTCACTCTGTTGCCCAGGCTGGAGTGCTGTGGCATGCTCACGGCCACCCCAGCCTCGACTTGCTGGGCTCCGACGATCCTTTCGCCTCAGCCTTCCAAGTAGCCGGAACCACAGGTGTGCGCTACCACACCTGGCTAATTTTTGATTTGTTGTAGAGATGAGGTCTCGCCAAGTTGCCCAGGCTGATCTCAAACCCATGGGCTCTGGCAATCCACTCGTCTTGGCCTCCCAAAGTGCTGGGATGACAGGCTGAACCACCAAGCCCAACCCATATATTATATTTTTATTATTCTCACTGTATAGTGTTGTGGCTTAATTTTAAGGAAGTTGGGCAGTGCTATTTTTGCAATCTTTGTCAACTTGGAATGTGTTTTTTGACTCTCTCAGAAGGAACGGAGCCTATGATAGCTGTCCCCCCTCATAGCCAAATACCAGCCGATGAAAGAAGGATTAGCAGCTGGTCTCTGCAGAGGGTAAGCCAGGGCTCAGCACAAGGGACAGGGAGAAGATTCTGGTGGAGAGAGAGAAGAACATTTTCGTATTATAGAGAGGCTTAACAATAGAATGATCAAATTATTCAAACACGTGTTCAAACAGAGTTCCAACAGCATTCAAACAAGTGAGAAGTTGACCTGGAGGGAGATCCAGGTTGTGAAGAAATAGTAAAATTGCTACCTTCCAGTTGCTCATGGAGGAAAGAACTTTCTAGTTCTCATTGTGTTTGCATAATACTGCTGTATTGTAATAAAAACTTATTATTATATTTAACTTCATTTTTCAAACTCTGTACCGAGCAGCTTTGCCAGGATTTTCCCCTCCACAACCTGTACATCCTCAAAAGGGTTGAGTATTTTCTGCAAGTCTTTTGAGATTGAAGAGTTAAGAGTATAGAGGAACATCCCACAGCAGTCTACCTCCTCAGGCGTGTGTCATCTGTGCTAGTGGGAAGGTCACTAGAGGGACATGACTCTGGTGTTGGGGGACCGTGGCCAGATCAAGAAGCCTCGCCAGCTTCACTCCCGTGTTCCCCTCCATGCGTGTCAGTCCCAGATCTCCCCAACCCTCCTCCATCCACTCGGCTGCCACCCACTCATTCTTTTATGCAGGCCTTTCTCGGCCCCCTGTCCCTGCAGCCATTCTCCCCTCTCCCTTCTCTGGAAAGCCTGCCCCTTTGAGGCTTGCCTCCCTGGCAGCAGCAGTGATCTGCCCTGCCCCTGAACTGGGCCCCCTCTGCCAGCTCAGAGCTGCTGGGCACTGTCCCCCCATCTGTGCCTGCATCCCATCCTGGAGTCCAGTGGCCCTTCAGGCACATGAGGTCTCATGGGGGCTCACACAGGTCTGTTCCCATGCTCCCCATCCTGGTCACCTGCCCTTCGTTCTGGAGAGTGGCCATGTCAGTACCACAGACAGACTGCGTCTTGTTTTAATTATTTATCTGTGTCAGTGCTTCTGTTTGCCATTCCCCCACCAAAAGTGACCTCCATGTGGCAGCTTAGTGTTGTCTGTGATGCCGAGCTCAGCGGCTGGCATGAGAGCTGTTTGTTGAATGAATGACCGAGTGACAGCACTTGTGAGGCTCCACAGAGTCTGTCACAGCATTGGAGCAAGACTTGGGTGAGGACACTGGCTTTCAGCAATTTTCTTTTAAATAGTGAAACCCTCTCAAGAAGCAAGTAAACAAACTTAGTAGAATTCTGTTATGGAAAACACAAAAGCAGAAATGTCTGGTTGACGTGATGGTGGGAGTGGACCCAGCCTGCGCTGCGCCCTCCCTCGGCTGCTCTGCACACATGTGAGCACTCCTGGACCGATTTTACCCAGCTGTACTCACATGGGCGAGGACCTGGCCATGGCTGAAGATTTGGGTTCTACCTGGACCTCCACAACTGACAGGCCGACCTCCTGGGGCAAGTTTCTTTGTCTTTCTCAGTCTTGTGCCTTCGTCTGTACTCCAGGCCTAGAGGATCTTCTCAGCCCGTCTCGCTGGGTCTGTTAGGGAATGGAGCACTGAGTGTTACCGGTTTGCGGGGCTGTTACAAACGGCTGCTGTCCGGTGGAGGGTTGCTGTTTTTATTGCTAGAGTAACTTCGGGGACTTAAACTGCATTCATCTTTAAAATCCAAAGTATTATAATTATTTGTATTTTGGAAAATGACTGTATTCTCTAAAATTAAGAAATAGAAAGGGAAATGTAAACAGCTTGAGAGTGGTGCCGTGGTTATTTATAGAATTATTTGGTAAATTCACTTGCTTCTCATCAGAAAAACAGTACAGCCTAATTGCATATTTTTAAAAAATGTTTGCTAAATAGCAGAAATGGAATGTTAATTTGTTACGCACCATGTGAGA